AATCCATTTTTTGCGGAATTCATTAAAATTGTTACTAGGGCCGGTGGGGAAAGACAGACACACGGGGTAAAATGGACTATTTAACAAATTTTCATATTTTTAATTAACATTAATAGATGAATGGGATATTTGTGGATTAGTGAAGTAATGAACAAAATCCGAAAAATAAATGGGGTCTAAGATGTTTAAAATAATATAATAATGATTATAATATTATAATAATTCCTTTAGTTGTTTTGCATATATCGGCGAAGATATAAGAATTGCTCGAAATTTTGACATAATGTTTTTGAAGCGATAACAGATACCTGTATAAAATTTGAAATTTATTCACAACACCCTTTTGTAATTATTAATTATTAAAGTTTTCAATTAACACGGTCTCTTATAGGGAAAATAAACATTTCTGTAAATATAGTCTAAAATATAAAATTTTGTTGAAATCATGAAAATTGACTATTGAAGCAGATATAAAGCGATGGTAAAAATTTCATGACGATTGACTAAAATTTTTTTTCATTAATTTGTTTAAACAATATAATTATTAAAATTTAAATTATGAATCATTAATTAATTTTTTTTATTCATTCTATGGGTATTACTTCAACTAATGAACGCATTGAAATATTAATAGAAAATTAATTACGGAAAAAATAATGAATTATAGAAAGGATCATAAACTTTTGATTTGACTATACGTGCAGAAGATCTAGGATGCAGCAACATTATTCCTAAACTTTGTATTTGGAGAACGATTGATTAAATATTTCCTAAATTATATAAATTATATATTCCCCAAATTACATAAAATTATCTAAAATATATTTTTTTCAATTCCCACGGAGAGAAATTTCCACAAAAAATTCGTGCGAGAATCGCTTTAAAAATTACCGGACTCCGTAGCAAGCGTGGAGCATTGCGATCTAACCCTAAATATTACGGTTCAGTCCAGTAAAATGTCCCAGCTCCGTCACTGAAAAAGTAATGAACAATCCAGTAAAATTTACTGTATGTGCTGTGAAAAATGAATGACTGATACGAAAAAAATGAAGTGCCCATTATTAAATCCGCTGCTTCCACGAGAATTTCAGCTTTTCAGCAGTACATTTTACAACATTGAATGAACTTCGGAGAAAATTGAGGATTAGTCCAGTACATTTTGTTGCCCTGCGCGGTAAATAATGTGGGGGGCTGCAATGATTTTGAATGAATTTCACGTGACGTTTCATCAGTACAGTGGAGCATCCGACGTTTTCTAATACACTGAGAGAAATATTCAATAAAAATTACGTGTATTTTCCGTAATTCTGGAGCGAAATGTGGGTGTCGGAAATTTTA